TATGTTATGTTATGTTATGTTATGTTATGTTATGTTAAATTATGTGGAAAAATATATTATTAGTTGGAACTAAGTTGGAAAAATAAATATGAAGGTCAATTAGATTATAAAACGTGAGGTAAAGCTCTCCTTTTTAAATTTAACTGGCACATTTTTAATTTAATTTATTTATTGGTCCATTTATATATTTCTGCTTTTTTTTCTAGTTATGTCAGTGTCGGTCCTCCGTACTGCAGAACTTGGACGAGGAAATTTAATGTCTGAATCAGGTGTGTTGGAGCAGGAAAAACATAAAACCTGTAGGGCTGCGGCCCCCGAGGACCAGGATTGCCCACCCCTGTTCTAGTTTATTGTCACTTGTAAAATAGTTGTGTTTTTAAATTTAAGCACACGGACTGCCAACTGCTAAAGTGTCCCACACTCACTTTTCAACTCCCTGATGCTTACATGAATGGCATCTSAAAAAAGTTCTGCAACAGCTCTAAAGATGTTTTTTACATTATCTTTGTATTTATTTAGCATCCAGTGTTCATGCTGAGGCTCAGATCCAACTGAATACTAACATGGGACTTGGACCAGAAGATGAAAACCTCTCCAACCATCCTGAAAAGTTCCTCTGCGTCTGGGTCCGGACACGTCAGCCACCTGGCCCTACAGACAGACGGACCAGTTCAGATGTTTTTAATCRTGTCCGTCTGCGTGTCCTGCAGTAATAAACCCGGAGCACCTACCTGTTGTTGTCCACGTAGCGGATGAGCAGAGGGTACAGGGCGTACAGGTCACGACACAGGACGGCGAACTCGTCCCGAATGGTCCCGTTTTCTCTGTCCACCTCCGATTTGCCCTCCATACGCAGGTGTTCCTCCTCTGCCACCACCTTTCCTGCRCGTTTCTTCAGCTTCTCCATAGTGGGGATGAAGTGAGATTTCAGCATCTCTGGTTTGGCTCTGCTGACAATGGGCTGGGCGAACACTGGGAAAACAAAGTTAGCAATCGTTAGRTTTCACAAAACGTGATTTAATACTTAGAAAGCAACCCTTTATCCTTCACACACTACATTATTATTAYTATTATAGCAACYAAAAGATATTTGAAGTTTCTGCTCACTGACCTGCTAATCTCTTCATCCAGGAGGCCTCGTCGATGCCCAGGTTGTTGACCACAATCTTCATGATGCTTCCCAGGAGCTGGTTGAGCTGCTCAGAGGTGACGGCGGTGCACAGCTGGCCCTCCTGCTCGGGGTAATTCTCCAGACCCCTCTCCCACCAGCGGGGCAGGTAGTTGCACAGCATGGGCAGCGTGATCTCAATCACGTGGGGCATCTCTGTGTAGCGAGCTCCAGACTCCGCCAGGTCGTGGATCTCCTTCATCAGGACCTCCAGCTCTGGGATGTCGGTGCATAATTCTTCCACTTGGTTGGGAAGTCCCAAAACTGATGAGTGGAAAATAAAAAAATAATAAAATAAACAGATAAACTGAGGAAACTGTTTTCTGTGGAAATACAGAGTGTTAGACGACTTCAACTGACTTAAAGCTAAAAGAAGCAGAAGAATGATTAACATCAGCTGCAGTCTAAACTAGAGCAAAACTACTTCAGGTGTTTTAAAACAACCTAAAAACGTAGCGAGAGTAACTAACTAAAATAAGTTAAACAGTTAGCTAGAATCTAGCTATAAGCTAAAGGTTTTAAAAGGCTGGATAAATGCTGAAAGTATCAAAGGAACAGCTAAAAAAAAACTAGTAAACATGAAGCTAAAAAAGTTACCTAAAGGCTACATTTAGCAAAAGGCTAGCTGAAAGACACAAGTATTGAAAAAAGCTGAGTAAAAACTATGTCAAAAAATATAAAAATGATAGCTAAAAACAGAAAGTTAAAAAGCCAGCTGAAGTCGAAAGTAGCACAATGGTAGCTAAAAGCTAAAATTAGCAAAAAGCTATCTGAAAGACAAGAGCATCACTAAAAAATAAAGGTTAAAAATATAAAAATGATAGCAACAAACCAAAAGCTAAAAAAAGCTAGCTAAACATAAATGTAACAAAAGGCTAAAATTAGCAAAAAGCTATCTGAAAGACACAAGTATCAAAAACCTGACTAAATGTAAAAATATAAAAATGTTAGCTAAATACAGAAATTTTAAAAAGCAGCCAAGGCCAAAAGTAGCAAAATGGTAGCTAAAAGCTATAATTGACAAAAAAAGGCTAGCTGAAAGACAGAAGTATCAAAACGCTGACTAAAAACTAAAAGTAAAAAATACAAAAATGCTAGCTAAAAAGCGAACGCTAAAAAAAGCCAGCTAAAGYGAAACGTAGCAAATTCATAGTTAAAAGCTAAAGTTATCAAAAGGCTAGCTGGAAAGCACGTGTCACAAGAATGACTAAAAGTTTAAAAAGCCAGTTAAAAGCTAAAAATATGAAGGTGGCAGCCCAAAAC